CCCCAAAACCCCAAAACCCCAAAACCCCTCATGATGAGATTATGGTTTTTTTTAGTAATTTGTAGAAAAAAATAAAATGAAAATTAATCAGAGATTACAATCGATTACTTCTCAACAAAACAGTATTCCTTTCAATAGAAATATCAATCTGAGTACCTTTAATCTGCAGAGCCATTAGAACCTTTCGATTTAGTAGTAGTATTAGCATATACTCTCTAATAAGCCTTACAATTTAAGCAGCTAATATTCACTTGAACCTATTAACCACACTATTCATAATACAGGGAATGTATTATATTTGGACTCTAAGGATTATACAGTTAAGGATAGACATACTTATTAGTCTCAGGATTAAAGTATTCAATATGAAAATGTGCAATTTCTGCCCATACCTTCTTAGTAAGCATCAGCTACTGTTAGAATACTAAATCCTTAGACGAAGCAAGAACTTAGATTCAAAGAAAATATGAATTAAGGAAGCAGCGAGTATTACCAAGTTGTCCAGGGCAAAAATATTACAAATATTTATACTAATAATAATGTGAACCCAGATTTATCCAGCCGATCAGCAACTGCTAATGTTATTGCTGAGAAAGATAAAAGTCGGTTCAGCAGCAACAGAGCTTCTTAACAATATATTCCAAATTCAAATAATCCTCACTAAGGAAATTCAACAGTGACAAAGTTTTTGGAGATTAAGCTTCCCTCCTCAATTGACATAGTTCTTGAGGACATTAACAACACTAATAATCCAAATTATAGTAACCCACTATCCTCTCCTGATAACAATAAGTTGCTTTCCCCTCTTAATAACTAGAATTTAGCACTTAATAATCACGTGATCAATAGTAATGCTAAAATTTCTAGTTCTGGTAGGAGATTACCTCCAATGAATGAGGAAGAGCCTTCATTTTATTCAATAGGGATTCATGATAAGTCATTCAATATTGATGGTTCAAGATCTAAAAGCAAAATGAAGGAGGAAAGTCTTAATATGGAACCCCCGAGTAAAGAACTGATTAAGATTCACTAGGATCCGTATAAAAATCCAATAAATCATGAAACCAACAGATCTAGTACTAATGGTAACAATTCTCTTTCAACAAAGAGGCATTACAGAAGAGTTTCAGCAGCTGTTGAATACCAAAATTTCAGTGAAGTACAGCTGACAACAGCTTTCACAAACTAAATGAACTTGAGATACTCCATAGATTTCAACAATCATATCAAGTAAACCTTATAGAGCTCGCCTAGAGGATTAAATCAGAGTAGTACCAATAATAATAGCACCATTAGATTCTAATCCTCAGTTGCACCACTTCGAACATCAATTATTAACCTTCACATAGACCCATATAAAGAGAAGAATCTGATTTACATGTGCTAATCAAGCAGCCAGAATCAGTAATCTTTTCTTACCTAGGAATCTAAAAAGAACCAAAACATGAGCTTGATGATCCGATCTCAGAATAAAAAGAGATTATTAACTGCTGCAATAGGGGCTGATGGAATGAAATCTTAAAATAATTCAGCTATTAAAAAGACTATTCAAAACTCAACCATTGCTGGATTAACCTCTATATCTGCTTTGCCTTCCAAAGAGCTTCATCATATTAGATCTAACACCTCAGAAATTGATCCCGATAGAGTTGAAGCTAATTCCTCTCCCAATATCAAATAGCAAAAATATTTAATGCACTAGACTCTAGGTGGGGAATCTGCTTATCGTGAAGATATCAACAGTACCTAGAAGTAGCAAATCAATTTTAATGTAGTACCAGAAAGTAAAGAGCTTTAATCCTTCAGGTATATTGTCTTGAATCCTTAGTAAAGTGATGCCACTCTTAATACCTAAGCATTGAACGCTAGTCTTTTGTTCGAATAGGCAAAGAAGGCTGATGAAAATTCTCTTGAAAGCACCTAGAGACAAGTTATATATTCATAAGCTAATAATTCCAGACTGTACTCAGATTTCAATAACTCACCAAAGAGATCTAATCAAAATATCAATATAATTGATAACAAGAGCAGCAACATACGCCTGCTAAACTAAAAATCAAAGTAAAACATGCTGAATGAATACATCTTTGAGAATAAGCATCATAAGAGCAGTATTCTGAACCAAGACTCCTCTGAAAATCAATCCATTTTTGGAATGATGAGTTAATGGGAGTAGGAGCAAGTGAGGTAAAATTTCTACCGTAGTTACTATAGATCTAACTCAATAGCTAAAGATAAAAGATTTATGGAGAATGATTAAATTGTACTGCGAGCTATGGCCTAGAAATAAGGCAATAAGCATAGAAAGATGTAATCTCTGGTTAGCAATTATGAGAAAAATCAAGAACCTAATAGAATCTAGAACAGAAGCAGGAAGTAGAACATGATTTAGGATTCTAAAACATAAGGAGATCAACCAGCATACCCTTAAGATAAATTATAGATTCAGAATACTAGTGTACTTGGACCTAGTACTAACATCAAATAAGCGCTCTTTAATAATGAGAGACATAATAACAGCACAAACATTACCACTCAAACGAATACTAATGCTAATCAAAGATAGAGAGAAAATATGATGTAAATCATGCAGAAGTTCAAAAGAAACAAAGCTGCCATGATCTAATATAAATCCCTATTTATGCAGCATGAGTTGACAAAGCCTTAAAGCTCTACAACAATCAAGAAATCCAATGAACTCAATGGATAGATCAGAATTACAGGAATTAAATAATTAAAGTAATGATTTGAAGGATATTCAAATAAATGTCAAATCAGTTATTATAATTATACTAGTTTTAATGCTCAAATTCATAAAGTCTATTTATTTGTACTAAGGGGTTTTGGGGTTTTGGGG